CTTGTCCCTGACGTGATACATGTTGATTTTGACAAGAGGCTGTTTCTGAGCAAATTAGTTTTGAGATGCTGACATTAATACTGATAAACCACTGCTTTGTGTGGAAGAGTACTCGTTACGTAACTGTACTGCTGTCAGATGCTGTACATCATTACATCATTTTAAGTATTAAAGTGGCTTAGTTGTCGCATCATCCAATGTTTGATAATAGATCCCATGTGGCACATGTGTTTAATATTTGTTTTTTTAAATTCATCACAAAGTTTTAGAGTGTTAAACTGGGAATGGGAGACCATGTGTGCTTGTAATGTCTGTTAAATGAGATTTTTTCTGTATGCATCTAATAAGTTGTCCTTTTTTTCAGGTCTCTGTTTGAATATGACAGGACCAAGGACAGTGGTCTGCCAAGTCAGGGACTGAGTTTTCAGTTTGGGGATATTTTACATGTAATCAATGCAAGTGATGATGAGTGGTGGCAAGCGAGACGAATTGGACCTGATGGCGAGGAAGAAGAAATGGGAGTTATTCCAAGTAAACGAAGGTATGTACACATACTATCCGATGTTGAATGTTCTTGAGTCTTGTCCTTTGTCAGTTGCTTGGAATCTAGTTTTCCTGATTTCTGGTGCAGTATGTACAAGACCAGAGTCTTGCTGGTCCCTCTCATGAAAAAAAATATACACGTGTCTTGAGATTGGTTTCTATGTTTGCAATTGAATCAACTGGAACACTACAATGATGTGATACCATGAACTCTAGTTGTGACTGTTTATTTGACAAGAGGCTGTCCAAGTAATATATTTCAAGTAAATTGCTCTTTGAAAATGTAGTCCTAATTTATTGGTTTGCTCAACATTTTGATTAATGGGCATTAGCTTGTTTGAATTATGCATATGCTTGCTCATATATTTAAAACTGTCTATTTGATTGTAGAGTTGAAAGAAAAGAAAGGGCTCGGTTGAAACAGGTGAAGTTTCAAAGGGAAGACCCTGATAAAAGTAGGGTGAGTACTCGTTGCGTTTTTTTTACAACACTCCACCCCAACACTACTGCACCCTCCTTTAATTACACCACCAATAAACTACCAGTAATCAGTTTGCTCATCAGGTGCTGTTGTACAGATTAATTTTCTCCTGTGATGGACGTAGTCAGCTTCCCAAATTATTTGATAAGAGGTGGTTTCTGAGCGGACAACACTGCACCCCCCCCCCACACACACACACACTTGCGCATAATAAAAAAGAAAACTCGCACAAGATGCGACTCGAAGATTACATTCAAATTTATTGATTGCATTCAAATTTCCATTCTAGGCATCATTTAATGAGAAGAGGAAAAAAGGCATTGTGTTTTCTCGTAAATTTCCATTTTACAAAAGTCGAGACAGCGACCAGGATACAAGTGATGTAGAACGTAAGATACTGATCTCTTATTAATGCATAAATTATCAACAGAAGCCGAAGTTCGAACCTTCATTGCAAGATTTTAACAATGAAATTCATGAATTGACAGATGCATTGCTAGTCTAGTAATGCAGACTTGCTACTGTTTGCATTTCAAGTGAAGTCAGCATATTTGTTTTCATTCAAAATCGAATCAGGCTTAATATACATGCATACATAAATGTAAAATCCAGACGTTAATTTGCTATTATGATTGTTGTTTTTTTTAAACTCTGCTGTCATTACATCTGCTTCTTATCGCAATTGAATCCAGTGCTGTCAGTTCCTTCAACTTTCTCCAAAGGTTAATAATTGTCGTGACAAATTTTAAAATAGCATGGATTTAAGCTACAACGCTGTTAGTAAAATATGTCAATTTCTTTGGTATTGACAACATGCGTTTATGCAAGGGGGAATGTATCATTTCAACTATACATCAACAATGCAGTGTGCTGGCTTTAGTTTCACATAAGTCCTTGCTTACCTGTACCTACAAGACAGTATGAAATCTCTATCAAACAATATTGCTTTCATACGAGAAAAAAAGTAATCGAAAGGCAACAACAAATTTTGAAAAACCTTTCCCTAACAGTATTATTTCTAACAGATTGTTTTGCGGGTAATTTGTTTTCATGCATACCGGGAAAAGGTTGAATGTCTTTACTATCCGTGTGGTTATGTTGACAACTACGAGTGCAGTATGACATTTTAACCAGCCCATTCGTATATTGTACATTCTGGAAAGCACCATTGATTCATGGCTATGCACATTTTTTTTTTCTCTTCTCTTTTTTCCTTATACTTGGTATGCCTGCCGTATATATTCCCTTGTCTTCTGTTGTATTGTTTTATATATTGGACCGTTTAGCCGTCAGCTATACATGTACATCCAATGCCAGCGATAGTGAAAGTAGCTACAGTAAGTGAGCGTCGGCAAACTATGTATGCCTAATATTTAATTGTGTGAAAATATATCTTGTGGGATCTCAGGTGGTGGGAAATATTATGGGATATAGCTAATTTACTTATCTATGAATTGTTAATGTATTACCCGACCTTGTTTTATAACAAGCAGAATTAAATGCTAGTCTTAAATTCTTATTTACATGTGATCTATGCTTCGAAGGTCAGATTTTGATCTTGATAACTTTATTTTAATAGGATGAAGTATTACAAGAATGATAAATTATGTGTTTCTTTTCTGTTCCTGACTGAATTTTTTTTCTGTGAATATTTTACGTAGTTGCATTTGTAATTGTGTTCTTTCTTTGACTTGTATCCACTGTTCAGTTTAATTGCCATGGTGACCTGTTAATTTTTTGTTTTTGCATTCCTAGGAGGCAGTGTGGAAGAAATGATTCTCTCGTATGAAGCACTTGTACAAACAGAAGGTAATGGTTTTCTTGTACTTTGCCTCTTGATGACGTTGTTCACAGGTCACTTGGGGATTGTATTAATCTCAATCATTAATTATTGAACTGTTTTTGTATGTGAAATTCAAATACCTACGCAAACCAACCCAACAAGGGGAGAATTTATAAACTGTTAAATTTTGACTACTAAAACAATCATGATGTAACATTAAGGTTGTTTGTGATGGGTTATTTGTTAGACCATGTGACTTTGTGTCATAATTATTTGAATGCCGAAGCGACCTTTAATAACTTGTGTAATCTTTCACAAAATTAATGTGCATATTTTGTTCTAATTTTGTTTTTCATTTGATCATGTAAGCAAAAGAAAATATTCTGTAAACAGCTTTCATTTTGTACAAGTGAAAATTCCTAAAAAATACAGCGAATTAGACACTTTGGCAAAATGTAGTCCTTATGAATGTATTAAATCATCATGAAAGTAAAAATTAAACTTATCAATTTTGGGTGGGGAAAATCCATTCAAAGGGTTCATGACACTACCCTACCCCGCTAGGGAAAAATTTCAATGCGACAAATTACGATTTTCCTCTGTCATGAGAATTCATGATATGGTTTATAGCCATCAGGTTTTTGTGGATGTTTTATAATTTTACTGCCATGATGAGACACTTGTCAAAGATTCCAGAAGAAATAAATGTTGATTTGACAGAGGCTGTTTCTGAGCAAATTCCCATGACACAATTGAGATATTGGTGGTGTAAGACAGTTGCTGGCTTCACACTGACCGACTAATACTAATATTGGTATCTCTATCTCACACAGCCGTTCATTATCAAAGGCCTGTAATCATTCTTGGACCAATGAAGGACCGCATTAATGATGACCTTATTTCAGAGTATCCCGACAAATTCGGTAGCTGTGTTCCACGTAAGTAAAACAGCAAGAATGGCATTACAGTATTTGTTCTATTACAGTGTGGCTGGATTAATTTTATACGTATTCAGATGCAAAAATAAAATCCCAAAATCATGTCAAGTCAGCTTGTTGACTCCTCGGATATGAGATTTTACATGTTATTGTATAGGTGACATAAGGCATGAACTTAAATTTCATTCTTTATGTTCACACTAATTTGTGAATTTCATTTTATGAGAGTAAAAAACTATTTTTTTTTTTTCAAATCCAAAGTAGGAGTGCTGAACTGCGATATGCACCCAATAACATTTTTCTTTTTTGTTAGACACGACACGACAGAAACGCCCATATGAAGTTAATTCTAGGGACTATCATTTTGTGGAGTCCAGAGAACAGATGGAACGAGATATTCAAAATCATTTATTCATTGAAGCAGGACAGTACAATGATAACTTGTATGGAACAAGTGTAGCCTCTGTCAGAGAAGTCGCTGAAAAGGTAAGCAGATTTGGGTCAACAAGTCACCTATGTGCACCGTTATATAAGGGTGCAATCATGGACACTTGGATATTAAAGTTGTTTGTAGAATATTAGGCATGCTGCCCATCGTCTCGTAGCCATGTTGGACATGACAAATAGCTTGTTTACTAGAAAAAAGCTTTGATGGGTAATTATCGTATATGACTGTTAGCGTGATCACTGAACCTTTTTACGCCATGATGTGTGAACTTCCTTCAATTAATAATGGCTTTTCTGATTGACTTTACCCCAGCCTATTAAACTAACCCACATCATGACCTACTTGTTTTTCGCCCTACAGCAAGGAAAACATTGCATACTTGATGTGAGTGGTAATGCAATCAAACGACTCCAAGTTGCTCAGCTTTATCCCATAGCTATATTTATCAAACCTAAATCAGTGGACGGAATTATGGAAATGAACAAGCGTATAACAGAGGAGCAAGCAAGAAAGACCTATGAGAGAGCTCTGAAACTTGAACAAGAATTTGCACCATTCTTCACAGGTACAGTGCAATTGGGGTGATTTGGCATTTATTACAGACATTGTGTATGCTATAAATGATGTAGACTCGCAATATGGTTCTGTATGATTCATTTATTACCGGTATGTTGATTTTATGCAATATCAAACACTTGATGATCTACAGTATATCAATTTTGGTCGGGAAAGTTGGGTCATTCAAAGGTTTATGACTGAATGTCGAAAAAAAATCTTCAGACTTCATGATTATTTTTCTCAGACTAGAAAAATTCATGAAATCAAGGCACTTTTCAATAACAAAGGTTTTTGTGGATGTTTTTAGCTCCGCTGTCGACTTTGTCGAGCGGAGCTTATCATATGAGTGATTGTCCGTCGTCGTCGTCCGTCGTCGTCGTCCGTGTCAATGTTTTACTTTTTCGACTTCTTCTTGAAAACTACAAGCCTGAATGCTTTGATACTTGGTGTATATGTACCTTGGGTAGACCTCTCTCAGATTTGTTCATTTCATGATGATATCTTCAATTCTCTAATTTTGGTGAATATTTTTGTCATTTTTAGTAAAAAGTGATATTTTCGACTTCTTGTTGAAAACCGCAAGTGCAATTGCTTTGATATTACATATATAGGTACTACATGTCGACCTCTCTCAGATTTGTTCATTTTGTAATGATATCTTTAGTTCTCTAATTTTAATG